CATGCTATCACTCTTTTCGTATGGTTTACACAGAGGGTCTCCAAATAGACCACTCACCTTGCCTGGGCTCTAGGCTTTCTCTCATTCTCCCTGCCACCCCCTCCCACCAAGATGCCATTAAAACTGATGTCCTAAGTCTTGGAAATCTAAAGATACTCTAGGGTACTACTTGTCTTTTTTTTTAAGGTTTTATTGGGGAATTGGGGGAGGGGAGCAGTGTTGGGGAATCCGGGAAGGGGAACAGACAGGTTGCTGTCCTTTTTGTTCTTCGGTCTAGTTGTGGAGCACATAGTTTCACTGGCCCATGTTGGTGTTATCATTGCGCTCTTCCCGGGTGAGGCAGTCGGTTGCTGGCCATTGGACGGCCGTTCACGGTGGCTCACGGCAGCTCACGAAAGTGCACGCCTGCTGCCGGCCAGCCCCACTGCAGCCTATGCCATCACCAGTGACTCACAGCAGCCCAGCTCCAGGTCGAGCTGTTGTTCACCATCTTAGCTGTAGAGGGCAAAGCATCACTGGCCTTCATGTGGGATCTGAACCGGGGCCCTGCTGCTCAGAGCTGGCATCCCAGGCCAACTCTTAACCAACACGCCACTCGGCTGGCCGATACTACTTGTCTTTAGCATTTGAATTTTACTCTTGTTTTGGGTCTCTGAGAATTTCTCTTAGTCCATGGCCAGTTCAAGTTTGCTTTTAAAAACATATTCTAATCTATAAATTTCAGGTGTTGTGTATTGAGAGGTTTTACAGTCTATCTAATCTCCTTTGTTGCTTGAATTAGAAGATGACAGCACTCTCTGTGAATATTAATACTGGAAATCCATTGACATGGCTGTTGTAGTTAATCTTCAAAAATGACTGCCCAATGGACCATGCTCTCTAGTATTCACACCCTGGAGAAGTCCCTTTGTATATTGAAACTGAACTGGCCATGTGGAACCAGTAAAATGCAGCAGAAGTGACACAGCATGACTCCCAACGCTACGTCTTGGGAATCCTTGCAGCAGCATTTTCTTTGCTCTCTTGGAATGCTCACTGTTGGGATATACCCTCTCAGAACTGAGGCACCACGGTGTAATAAGCCCAAGCCCCAGGGAAAGGCTATGTGGTTGACTATCCCAGCTGACTTCCCATCCAGTACCCACAACCAATATCAAATACCAGTCATGCAAGCAAGCCATCTTGGAAGTCTGACCCAATTAAGCCCTCAAATGACCCAAGCCTCAACTTCCATATAACAGCTTGAGAGATCCCAAACAAGAATGTCCAGATGAACCCACTCAGCCTACAGAAACTTGAGAGATAGCAACAAATTCTTGTTTTAAACCATAAAAGTTTCTGAATAGTTTATTATATTTAGCCATACATTATCAGAGCTACAGTCAAGTCTTTTTAGATTAGAAGCCATTTTATCTCTTTGCAGTGACTTGGCAAATCTATGCTGCAATATGCTATATTGATATTATAGGGCATTTTAATTTCCAAACTCTTAGAAGGAGAACAACTGTGCCTTAGAAGATAATATAGGAAAACATCTTCATAATCTGAATATTGATACTTATATTACAAGACAAAAATAACAAGAACCATAAAGAGCGAAATTAATAAGTGTTATATTAAAAATAGGGTCAAGAAAGTGAAAAAGCCACAAACTAGGAAAAGATAATTTTAAAACACACAGCTAGCAAAGGATTGCTATAGTTAGTTTTTACACATAAATAAGAAAAAGGAATCAACCTAATTGAATAGTTTTCAAAAGAAAGAAACAGGTATTTCACAGATGAAACATAAATGGTCAGTAACCATATTGAAATGGTACCAAAGCTCATTAATAATTAGATAAATGCAATCTAAAACAAGAATGAGATGCTAGTTAACATTTTCCAGATTGGCAAAAATTAAGGAGTCTGACAACGCTAAGTGTTGATGAGGATATAAAGAAATTAGAACTTTTCTACCCTATGGTAAGAGTGTAAATTATTACAACACTGTAGGAAACAACTTGGCATTATCTAATAAAATTCAAGCTGGGCATACCTTAGGACTCAATAATTCTCCCTCTAAATATGCACATGTACAGCAAAAGAAATATAAAAAAATATTATGCAGCATTATTTATCATAGCAAAAAACCTGGAAACAATCCAAAAGCCCATCAGCCGTGGACTGGATGAATAAATTGTAGCATTCTCATAGAATGGAGCAATACCGTGTGAAAATGAATGAATTCTTGCTATGTGCAATAACGTAATATTGACCAAACAAAGCAAGTCCACAGAAGAACATAAATAATCTCATTCAATTTATGAACAGTTTAAAACATGAGAAACTAAACAATAAATGTGTGTATGAGAATAATAAGGCAAAGCAAGAAAATGATAGCAAAATATTCAGGATTAGAAGTTAACCTAAGAGATAGAATAGGATAGTGAATCAGCATTCAGGGGGTTTCAGAGGTGTTGGCGATTTTCCACGTCTTATGCTATATGTGGTTACTTAGAAATTTGTTTTATTATTATGCATACTTCATATATATTCCATATATATTTTATAAGTGTGCAATATTTCATAATATACCATTTTCTTTTTTTTTTTAGCTGAGCCATCCTGCCACCTGTTGGCAGCTTAGCATCAGCTCAGCTCAGGCCGGGAATTGAACCGCTGTTACTCAGAGCTCACATTCTTGAGCAAGCTCTTAACCAGATGAGCAACTCGGCCGGCCCAATAATATACCATTTTCAAAAAGCAATGACTATGTCAATTAGCAGTGGAGTTGATTAGAACTAGAGCATAATTAAGTCTGAGAGGTAAACCAAATCCCAATCCAGGAAATGAGTAATGAGAACACATAATATAAATATTCAGTTTCAAAATTGGGTATTATGAAGTTGGAGATGTTTCTATCAGTCTATTTGAGATAGGTTCTATTCAACTGTTTTACATTTCAACCGTCTAGTCAAATCCTAAAAACTGTACACCTGAAACATGTTATTAATCAATGTTACCCCAATAAATTTAAATTTTCTAAAAATTGAAAAAATTTGAAAAATTTTAAAATCCTATCATTCTAATTTCATGTTAATCATGAAATCTTTCCAGGCAGTGAGCACCCAAGAAACTTATATGATGCTCAGCCTACATGGGTTACTTGCCAACCCGAGAGCTATACTTTCATTCTGGTTTATATGTCACGCTCTTCGGTTGTATAGAGTTAGTATGTCACATCCCTGACTAGTACCATCTTTGAGACATTGACAAGATTAATTTTGTGAACCTGCCAAGCTAAGAATGAGAGTCTGGACTGTGAAGACTACATAGGTGAATGCCATATTTTGAAGCCTTGAGTGTCAGTAGGCCAGTCTCCCCAGATGATGTCCTGACCTCGAGCCCCACTTCTAGAATACTTATCTTGTCTTAATAAATAGATCATAAGTCCATAGAGGGCAGAAACAATGTCTTATATTACTCTGCCTCATCTTCAGAGAAATCCACTGCTTTGTATATAGTAAATGCTCAATTAATATTTGTTGCCTGGATGATTGGCAGGACTGATGATTACATATGCATCCACACTATACTTTAGAACAATAATCAAAATCCCATTATTGAATATAATGAATAGAACTCCACTTCAACTACCAAGTGCTAGCTTACTTGCAAATGTAAAACTATTGCTATTGTTCAAGTTAAAATAATCCACTCTTTCAAAATCAGCTTCTTTTCGGCCTTCTGTGAATCAAGAAAGGGCATTTCATGGGAAGGGGGGTGGGTATAAACATTAACTAAGTCAATAATAAAACTTTCAAATCTGAGAACTCTCCAAAAGAAATTTTCAGCAAGAGTATCATGATAATGAAGGTGATGTTAGGGCGATTTGCCCCATCATTTGCAGAACCAAAGCTCAGCGATTCTAAGACAACAGATACACAACAATCAATCTTTTGTTACTTATTATTTTCAATTTTAGAATTGTAGCAAAGGAAGAAATCTTCTAATACATTCAAATGGTATTACATTTGATTTACCCTCCAAATTAATGTTTGCCCACTTGATGTTTATGAAAAGAAATGCTGCATTTCTCATATTAGCCAACAGAGAAGCAATCACTTACATGAATCATCGCTGGAAATAGACAGTTTTGCAAGCGCTGGACAACATATGTGGTCTGTGAACACTGAACACTAATAAGCAGAGGAGTTGCAATCCTAAAATGAATTTTCTGACTTCGAAGTAATTTAATCCAGAAATGCTCTGGGCAGACATCCAATTGTCTGCATGGAACCTGGGAGAGCAGTGATTTCACAATTTAAGACTTCATGGCCTTAAAGCTTGCTTCTCTGCATGCTGAGCATCTTTATTCATTCCACAAGATAAAGAAGGGAGAAGCAAACTGGATTTCTAAACATGTAAAGGAATAAATGCAGGGTGACATCGGCTCTTTAGGCATCCTTGCTCTGTGGACAGTGCTGGCTATTGAAAATAGCTTTTTTTAAAATTGTTGAATAATAACTTTATTTATTTATTTATTTTTTAAATGAACTGTATTGGGGTGGCATTGGTTAGTAAAATTATATAGGTTTCAAGTGTACATTTCCATAACACATCTCTAAATTCATTAGTAGTAGTGCTTGCAGCTGCCTGCACAAATCAACGTGCAGGAACTATACTTCATTTTTCATCTTCCTTTTTAAATTTCTGTCCTCCTGGCAACTTATTTAATCCAACCGAGTGGGCTCTATAGTGTGCCTTTCGTTTCTAATACAACCATTGCAAGGAGACAAAGGACACACGGGACAGTGGGTGGCCATGAAAGTTGGGGCATTTGTTGGTTCTGCAGTGGTAGCTTAGAGATCTCAGATTTAAGAGGCAGGCTGTGTACCTGATCCCTGAGACATTATACATAGTGAAAGAATGGCAATCACTATTCATGAACCTCATAAGCCACATGTTTTAACAAATACCATAACGATCACACATCCTCATATCAGAGGGTTTTCTCACCCAGAAATCCATTCCAGCCTTGGGGCCCACAGAGAGAAGATGGTCTGTTTGAGGCAGGAGACTCTCCTAAAATTTAAAAAGTACATTTTATCAAGATAAAATTGGCTTTGTTTCTTCATTTGTTTTTCTTGTTCTTTTATTGTTTTCAGTTTTATATTCCACATATCAGTGACATCATATGGCTCTTGACGTTTTCTGTCTGACTTATTTCACTTAGCATTATAATCTCAAGAACAAAACTCATAGACAAGGACAACAGTTTAGTGGTTACCAGAGGGTAAAGAGAGGGGGGTGGTAGATGAGGGTAAAGGGGGTCAAATATATGGTGATGGAAGAACTAACTCTGGGTGGTGAACACACAATGTGATATATAGATGATATATTACAGAATTGTACACCTGAAATCTATGCAACTTTGCTAACAATTGTCACCCCAATAAACTTTAATTAAAAAAAAAAGATGAAATCGGCTTTATTGTTCTCTGTGAGGAAGCAACTAAAGATTTGGTAAAACAATGTCTTGCCCTGCCTAATTTGCCTTAACCTTCTACTTCTTGGTTGGTGTGAATTGTAAATTAATAAGTCCTTCCTTAATCTTTATCTTTTCAAGTGGAAGCAAGAATGCCCACATTTTAGGAGGACCATCTCTCTGTAGGAAGACCCATAAGAGTTCACAAGGAAACCTGATACAGGATGTTGATATATTAGACATCTTTCAACTCTTTTCCTACAGAAATTGACTCTGAAACTCTTAATAATGGGCTTTTCATTTATCATTTGTGTGTATGTGTATCTCAATTTAATGGAGACCAAAATGCCATCAAGCAAAAGGCACTTACTGCAATGAAATCACAAATACAGTTATTTAAAAAATGGTTGTGGGTATACAGTAGGTTTCCAGTGACTTAAAAATAACATCAATCATACATATGATGAGAAATGTCTATATGCTTAGGTAATAAATATAAAAAGTATGACTTTGTCAGTTAATACTCATGTGAACTTGGAAAAATTGGTCAACTTACATGAACTTTAGATTCCTCATTGGAAAAAACTATGGCAATTAATTATTGTTCTGCCTACCACATCGTGTGGGTATTTCGAAAACTGTAAAGCATTGTATATATGTTAGAGGTTTATCAGTGTCAGCAAATGATACTGATCTTCAAGCGATACTTAAGTTCATTAGAAATGTCTCTATTTATTTGTATCTATTTAGAATTTTTAATATGTAGCATCATATAGACCAAATATTGTATATTGACCTTATGACATTATAGGATGGGTCAGAATCTCCTCATTTCTCTGATAAGAAGGTACAGAATGAGGGTGTCACATGCCTCAACCAGTTGTAATTTAGTGAACTAGAAGTATAGGTGGATTCAACTTCAGTATTCTATTACATTGTGCATAAGACCTTTTCAAGCTCCTGAGACTTACTCCACTTGCAAGTGGAATTGCCCAAGGAATAAAATAAAAACATGAATTTCAGCAGTCAATAGATGCTAAGAACTGATCTTATGAACCTAAAGCACATCCTCAGCTATAATTTAATATGACTTTCAAGATTATTCCATATAGAAGTATTTTACGTGGCAATATTATCAACTGTATTTTACATATTATGAAAATGAAGTTCAATGGGATGAAATAACTCGCCCAAGGTCACACAATTGATCAGCGTTCGATGTGGAACCTGAGTCAAGGACATTGGATTCATAGTCTCCTGCTTGCACTTTCTTTCCTCTCATGCTGTAGGCTCCTGAACCACTAAGCTTAATTTTCTTTCAAATAATCATCGTTATTAAATTGTGAATTTCCCTAACATGTCATTTTTGACAGAACAACACATACGCAAGGACAGTGTTTTGCTTAAGCAGCACTTCTGGGTGCATTTAAAAAACTGTACCTTAATCAGCATCAATGCCATTACGATTATTGCCATTATCACTGAATGTATGGGGATACCATCGTGGACCAAAATAGATGCTGTTCCCGTGCATTACAAAGCTCATTAGCCAAGCAATTCATCATACACATGTATACATGCCATGATGACAAGCTCTTTGAATAAGAGTTGTTGTGTACTAAGGGGGCGTGTAATAGGGGGAGTTGATGAAGTCATGCAGGTCAGGGAAGGTCTTCTTGAGGAAATAACCCACGAGCAGAGATGTGAAAAATAAGCTAAAGTTAGCAAGGCAAAATGGGAGGCATGAACATGCCATGGGATTAAGCAACATGGTAAGCATGAGGGACTAAAGAGACCCATGTGGCTAGAGGGGGAGGAATGAGATGAGTAGGGGATGAGATGAAGGACAACGCAGGCATGAGCCAGACCATGTGCAACTTTTAGGTCATGCTAAGGAGTTTTCTTGCTCCACACAAAGATCAATGGAAAGTCACAGTGTTAATCAGGGGTGTGATCTAATCAGGTTTGAAGTTTTGGACAATCATTCTGGCTGCAGTGCAGAGAACGAGGTGTTGGTCCAGGTAGACCAGTAAGGTAACTACTGCTGTAATACAAGCAAGAGACGATAGCTCAACTGTGGTCCTGGGGGTTGAGATGAAGAGAGTGGACAGATTTGGGAAATATTTGAGAGAGAAAATCAATAGGGCTTGGTGAAGAACTGAATATGGTCGGTGCTGGAGAGGGGTCTTAGAGATGATGCCTTGGCTTTTGGTTGGCAGCAAGGAAAACAGGCTCAGGAGAATAGAAACAAGATTTGGAGCAAGTGTTAAAGGTTTGGTTTTGACATGTGGAGTTTGAGGAGCCTTTGAGACATCCAACAGAAATGGTTTAGGAAGCAGCTGGATGTACAGGTCTGGATAGAAATATATATTTGTCTGTCATCTGCATAAAAGGATAATGGACGTTATGGATGTGTATACTACTGTCTGAGTGTAGCGTGGGAAGAAGGGAGAGCCTAGAATATAGCCTTTAGGAAATCCACCTTTTATAATATGAGCGAGGTAGAGGAGGATACGCCTACCAAGGAGGCAGACTAGGAGGCAAGCCAGGGGTGCACTGTGTCACAGGGTCAAGGGAGGGAAGTGCTTCAAGGACCAGGATGGTGACTGCTAGGGACAGAGGAAAGGGAGAAATGGGGAGTTATGAATCAATGGGTTTAAGATTTCAGTGATGCAAGATGAGCAAGTTCTAGAGATCCACTGCACAACATTGTACAGTTATATAGTCAACAATATTGTATACTTAAAAATCTGTTGAAAGAGTAGATTCTCTTATCACAAGAAAATCAAACTTTTTTAACAAAGGGAAAAGAGACCGATGATGTTGGCCGCCATGGAACTGTCAAGTAAGATAACAAACAAAAAAATACCCTTAAATCTTAGTTACAAGGAATTCATAGAGCTACTTCTGTGGATTGACAGAGCTGGAATCCAAATTGACAAGAACTGACAAGTGAATGAGGAGGCTGAACTAGATCCCCTCTGAAGTCCCTTCGAACTCCAAAATAATAAATGCTATGAGTTCCTGCTCCAGCCAGAGCCTCCCTTTGTCTCAGGTTTCCCTAGGCACCCTACCCCTGGTTAGTAACACGACTGCTGTTGAAAGAAATGATTTCTAAAGACTGGAATTATTTTAAACAACAGTACAACCTCAAAGAAATTTGGGAAAAACCATTCTTTTCTACTTTCACATATATGTTATCTTTTGGAAAGAATCTCAAGCACAAAAGAATCTTGGATGATTTTTCCATAGCACCAATTGAAGAAATACATTTCCAGGAATTGATTTTATTTTGGGGGGTCAGGACTGCAGGGATAAAAGCAGGTTTCGAGTTTCCATGCGGATGGATTTGGAAGTGAAGCGATTTGAAGCCGCAGTCCAGGGATGTCTTACACTACACGAGACTGTCTTCCTTTTCAATTGAATCACTTTTTTGGGGCTTTGAAAGTTAAGAGAACACATCCAAAGAATTGATTTTGTATGTAAGCAGAATGCTTGGGCACTGCTGCTTTTCATTAAAGAGAAGTTCCTGCATTCTCCCTGTCTTGGTGGAATAGAAATCCGATAAGAGGGCGTACAGACCATTGCTACTCAAAGTGTGATCAGTGGGTCTGCAGCATCAACCTCTGCCAGGAACTTGTTAGGAATGCAGCATCTCAAGCATCACCTCGGACCCACTAGATCAGAAAGTGCAGTTCGACAAGATTCTCAGGTGATTTAGATTAACATTAAAAGGTGAAAAAAGAACTCCCAATTTTTTTTCTCAGAAACATTTTTTTTCTACTATTTAGAAAGATAGCTCTCTTTGTTATGCTGCTATGATACTGAAACTGATCCAAGGGCAGATTCTGTCATGTATGGACCCACAATTAATCACATTATTTTGTTTTAAAATTAAAACCTGCGGTGGAGTGCCAAGGTGACTACCCAGGTATATTTTACAGACAATATGTTGCTCACCCAGCTCATGGTGGAACATGCCTTTTTCATTTCCCCCTAGCAGAAGCCGCTAATTACTTGCATTGAACTATTTACCCTTCCTCTTTTATTACTAATAATATTTGTAAATTTGATTTGAAAGAGCAAGGTTACTTGTCATGCTTTTGTACAGGATTTATAAACTCTCACGAGTTTGTCTCTTTAGCCAATTTAGGAGAACATCTACACTTTATTACATGACCCTCCCCGGTGGTTAACATCTGGAATGGGCAGATGAAACCCAGCCGGCAGTGGCACCCTTTCTTGCTCCATTTTTTACACGGAACTCTACTCTAACCTTTAACCAGGGCAGAAAAAGATTGCTGCTGCCCCCTTCTGGCCCATTTCTCCTCCTCTACAAACGTGCGACTTGAAGAGGATGCCCAAGGAGGCAGAGCCACTGAAGAAAGCTCAGCGGAAAGGGCTTTCCCTGGCAGAGATCCTTTGGAAGAAGGCGGCGAAAACCCAACGCAAACCACTCAAGGGGCGAGAAAGGCATACAGGGCTTTTAAACTAATTGATCGATACTCATGAACTCATGAACCGTCCTTCCTCCCTACCCTCCCCGCACGCGGGCTGCTTTATGCCACGGAAATATCCACTCCTATTTAGCACAGGACTCCCCTCTTGGCTCCGGGTTTCACTGACAAGGAGTACACTACCCACTCCCGAATTATAATTTCAGTACGCCAGACCCTGTGCTGCGCTGCTTCCCCCAATTTCCTGTTCCCACACCTAGACTTTATTCCCTTCGCTTTCCTGCTTCAAACTCCCGTCCCGCCCACCCACCGACACACTTGCATTTCCAGGAGCTCAGACTACAGCCTCCTTCACCCGATCTGACTATCCTGACCTCTGCTCTTCCCTGGTTGTCATCGCACCCCCTTCAGCACCCCTTCGCTGAACGGCCAGTCAACTCTTTGCCTTTGAATGGCAGGCATGTCCCTTCTTGAATGCCTCTCCCCGACCCCCGCCCCAAGCTCCTGAAAAAGGAAACATGCGCACTTCAGAGCTAGAAGCTGTCCGAGTGCTGAAATTTATAGGCTGGGTAAGATCACGTCTCTCTCTTTCTGTAGCCCTCATTCCAGCACAGGATCTCAGCATTTCTGCCCTCTGCTCCCTACCCACTCCGGCGCGCAAAGTCCTTCCCCCGCACCTCATTTCCAACTTCTTTTTAAAAGACAACATTTTCTAGAGAAAAGGGACTTGCTAACCCAAAAGGACTTCAAACAAAAGCCACAGCAACCCGACTTCCAGCATGGCATTGTCACCAGCCCCCTTCGCATGGTGATGCGATTAAGGTAGCAGCGTTTTTCCTTATTCAGGAGCAGCGGCTGAAGGATCCCTCAGTTCTAAGGCTTTGTCTTTCCTGGGTTAACTGATGGTCCGGAGCCCCAGTTTGACCTGACCATGACGCCTAGGACTGGCACTTTTTGTTTTTCCTCAGCCAACTGTCCAAACCCAAATCTCTTTTTGATTTTCAAGGAAACTAGATTCCTGCCAGATTTTCAATCTGGACAATAGATAGATACTTTGTCCTAGCTTCTTTCTGGAATCATTTCGGGGATATTTTCCACAAGCATCACAGAAACAGGAATGAACCGGCAGCTAGTGAACATTTTGACAGCCTTGTTTGCATTTTTCTTAGAGACCAACCACTTCAGGTAGGTGAAAAGACTTTGCATGCTGATATTTTCCACACGAAAACTGAAAGAGAACGTGTCATGCAATTTTTATCTATTTTCTATGCCATGGACCACATTGTTTTAATTTTATGTAGGACAGTTAGATTTCTTTTGTTCTGTTAAAAAGCTTAATTATGGTGGGAGGGTGGTACATTTTCACAAAGGCAAGTTTTATGATGCATAAGCCCACTCTATGCATTTGAGCACATCTCACAGCTAATGTGATATTAAAGTAGTGTGATGAGTTGCATGCCCTTTACATTTCTATGTAACGGTGACTTTTTTTTTCTTTTAAATTCTGGGAGTCATTTAAAGGGGTTATTGGATGCAATGCTTTTCATATGGTGGAAGTAATTGGATTAATCTGCCAAGAACATGCTCATTTTATAAAAAATATAAAAGAGCCCTAATTCTTAGCCAACTTGGGACTTCTTATTACATTTCAGCAACTAGGTGTATACCATGAGGACTAGCATTCATAACATTTCTTGAAAGATCAGGAACATTTAAAATTTCATTTTGCCACTACATTCTTCTGTTCAGTGTATTTGGAAATTGATTGCCTACCAAATGTAATTAATATGATATCTTTGTATGCATGAGAAATGGGTTATGCATAATTAAAATAAGTGAGAAATCATTATTTGTATGCCTGTATTTTTACCTAATTTACAAACTGTCAAATCAATTGATACTTCAAAATATCAGCTTATTACCAGCAAGTAAAATAGCCATCCTAATGGAAGAGGTTTTAAGACAAGATAGAGTTAAGAGATGTTCATGCAACCAAGTGTAGGTCTCTTCATTGAATTTTAACCAAATTTTATGGTATTTTTTCACAGAACCAAGAGAAATGGAACATATAGCAGCAATGCTATGAGTACTGGGAAACCCCACTATGTTCCTTTCAGGTTCACACCTCCTACTATGATTAAGAAAAATTGTAGGCTGGGTGTTATTAGAATTAGAATCACCATCATCATCACCATCATCATCATCTTCACCACCACTGCCACCACCACCACCACCATCATCATAATCAAATAATACTTGATTAATCAGATGCTGCTGCATATGGGAATGTGAGTATATCTAGATGATTGCATCAATTTTAACTCCTACCAAATGTTTATATCATCTTTGCACTTATATTTAATACTACTTCTTTGAAAAATTGGCAAGAATGTTGTGTTCTTTAAGTTATAGAATTAACAGGTTTATTTGTTAAACTATTGAGAACAAAGCTTGTAAAATGTATACTTCAGGGGACAGACCAACATTTAGTCACCACTATGTGTTGTGAAAGAATTCATTTTCACTACAAACTAAATATGCTCTCTTTATAAGCCCCTTAATGAAAATAAAAATCTGAAAATTTTTCTAAGCAACATTTAGTGTTTTTGATAATGCAAAATATAAAATAATTTAGAAGTTCTTTTCCATGAATACTTTATTGGAGTCAACTATTTAATTGCCAATATATAAATAACAACTGATAAAATAATAGAAGTATAGGCATGCTCATTGTTGACCTATTTTAGAATGAAGTTAAATTTCCAAGTGAAGATTTTCTTTTATACAACACATTGAAAAATATTCATAGTTGATAGTTGGAATAGAATCTAGCAGGTGAGAGAATAAGCAATGGGATAATTAGTTCACATTTACTTTGTTCTGCCCATCTTACTACATATTTCTTATAAAAATACAGGACTTATATTAAGGGCTGAGATGCTGGAAGAATTTTTTTGTAATTCATGGGGAAATTACTTTAAGCCAATCATAAATTTTACAAATCATCATCTTCATTTTTCTGATAGCTCCAGAAATAAATAGCTTTAACTATATATCTATAAAATCTATTACCTAAAACTATGCATGTTGTATCATCTTAAATGTCTTATGTATGGCTGAAGTTTGGAAACTTAGGAGCTACGACTCAGGATTTACACCTCTCATTATTTCAAGTTCACTCTAGACCATGCACGACTTCAGAAGTTGATCAAAGAGTTTGTCATTTTCTTTTTCTTCTTACTAACATAGCAAATATGTGTAGAAACCATGAGGTCAAACATTCTGTGAGCACTAGTTCTCAGGTGATAAGAATGGAATGGTTGCTAAAAGAGTGAATGATGTGTTTAGGACGGCTTTGGGCAAAGACCATGACTCCCGGTCTGGCAAACAGCCTTCGCAGACCCTGTCTCCTTCAGATTTCTTGGATAAATTAATGGGAAGGACATCAGGATACGATGCAAGAATCAGGCCAAATTTTAAAGGTAGGTTTCATTTAAACTTATGTTAAGCCTGTGAGAAATCTTCTAGACATGTCAATATTCTGAAAAAAAGTTTTCAGGGCTTTTTATTGTAAAATGGAAACAAGTATGGTCTTCATTTCATTTTGGCATTCTTCTGAACTAGTTAATTTAATGGCTTATATTTTACATGTTGCTTGCCACTTCTGAAAACTTTCCTCATTTGTGTTCTATTCCACAAAGAAAACTAATATCAGATATTATTGCCACATTCCCTATTTTATCCTACATGAGAGTGTGATTGGAAATAAAGACAAGAGCACCTGATGGGCTTCACTTGTATGAGTGTCTGTCAAGACTCACTAAGATTCAATGGCTACAACAAAATGCTTGGTTTGGGTTTTAAATACCCACTTCCAAAGTGAAGATGACATCTCAATATAAAACATGCCATTTTACACACATTCAGGCCTCTCTCATTTTTAAATATTGTGAGAAGAGGCTCTAATAAGATATCAGAAATGTTTGGTGTCCTGTTGCTTAGATATTCTAATTGTTTATTGGAAGTTATTTATCTGAAATTAACAAAGATAACAGGATTATAAAGTGCACATGCCAAAGATGGTGGATACCTTCTTTGTTCAATTAGAAACAAACCAAAAAATTTGATGTTTTCATTTGTTTTGTTAACATTACAGAAATGTAATTAACAGTCTGTAGAAATTAAATTTTAACTATTTGGTTTATTTTTATTCTGAATCAGAAAAATACAGTATAACAAGAACCAATTATTAAAAACTGAATTATTTTAACGCTTTAATTTTGAAATACATGTTTTAAATGACAGTTGCATTTTATCTTGTAATTTAATGATATAATGCATTGTGAAGTACTTATAATATTTTATAAGAGGAGAAATGTATAATGTTCTAGATGTTATGTCATAATGCATGCATTGCTTTGGTTTTGCTTATTAGCAATTTAATTGGATTGCTTTCCTTGAGTTTTGGTTAATTTTTATTATTGGCGAATAAGAGCAGAAAAACTAAATTCTAAATTTGTTTCTTCTTTAAATGCTATACCTCTGAATATACCCAGCTAAGGGAACATTTCATAAAGAAATACATCAGAATTTTGGCAAAACAAATGTTTTTGATATATAGAGTATTATCCAATAGGACAATGGAACCAAGTTCAAAGCTCAGTTTTCCTGAAAACAATTTTCATGTTCATCCCATTTCATATTAATTTTGTGATCATTGCTTTGGAAGTTAATATTTGAAACAAAATCCTATGAGTAACAATTCGAGAATCAGCTTTCAATGGGAGTGCTCATTTATACATTTATTCACTTAGCCATTCAGTAACTTTGGAATCTGAACTATATGTGAAATGTTAACTACTGCATGCTTTGAGAAGTGGAAAGATCAAACAGGTTTGGGTGCTCAAAATTTTCAGTGAGGAGAGTAAATGTTACATGAATACTTATAAAATATAACATAAAATATATATTATTAGATAGAAATAGTTAAGTAGTTAATAGCTAAGTAGCATAAGGAAGTACAGATAAAACCCTACAAGATTCCGATAAATGGAGAGATGGTTTCCTATTAAGCTATTCATGGAAAGCTTCATAGAGAAGGTCCAGAGATGGAAAAGTGTTTCAAGCTTATCAGCATCTTGTTTAATAGCAGCTATTATTATTTTCTAGCTATAATTTTTCAAACGGGCATCAAAGTGAAAAGAGTAATAAAACATCCATGTTACTACTTTAAGTGGCCACACAGAATGGGCAATTATTTCCACACACAGCTTTTTTTCTGGTTCTTCTGGGGATGTCAACCTTCAGAAACAACATTCCCTATGATTCTAAAGGATACATAAATAAGGAGAATATCAAGTAGAGCAAAGCATGGCCATGTTTTTGAGATCTATTCTTTACTCAAAAGCCTGAGCACAGGATGTTTTAAAGACTTCTAAAAGGGAAATGGGGCAGATACCATTTAAGACTCTGACATTAATGGACTTCACTGAGTTTTGTCTCCCTCTCCCTTTAACTCTCTACTTCAATGAACCCTGGTGTTTTTTAAATACATTTTACTTACACAGACCATCTACATCAGATCAATTACCTAACGACTCCCACAATTTTCTTTACTCTGAGGATCTGGGCTTTTCCTGGATGTAAAACATTCCCCATTCTTTTAGACTAAAACAAGTTTCCCTCCTTGGTGTTTCCGTGAAACTTTATATGTCTAATAGGGTACTTTTGCATATTGATGTTTTATCAACCCACCCCTACACCTCATCTGAGGGGGCAGTGAGGTGCCTTACTATTCATACATATTATATCATGTATGTACTTATACATATAGTGTAGGGAGAAGAAGTTACCCTTTCCTCCAGAGTGATCAAATAAGAACTGAGAAAGGAAAATGCAGATCAGCTGTGAAGATTAGTGTGTCTAATCAGTGGGAGTAGAAGTTTAAGAAGGGAACTTTTGAGGAATCACCAGTGGTCACAGTGGCTAGCAAAGAGGATTTTGTTGAGATGAGGAGAAAGAAATAAAATGAAGAAATAATAGGGAACTTGTAACAGTGAGAAGGCTAGGAAGAACACTACAGTTCTTACTATAGATTAGCAATGTGTCAGTGGCAGGTTTTATAGAGTAGGTAGAAATCAAGGGTGATTAGGAAACGTGATTGTCTCTGGAATACTGGCAGGTTCCCTGTCAATGCCAAAAAAGAAACTGCCTCCGATAACAATAAACACGATGACAATGCTGATGATATTGAAAAATGACAATAATAGTGATTAATAAGAAGACAGAAGGGCAAGATTCGACCACAAGAATAAAAGCAAGAGCCAAATATGGGCTGTTGAGGTAAAGGGAATGGCTTTTCTAGAAGTCTTACTAAATAGTAGCGTATTTCTCTGTTTCCTTGCTTCCATGCATTGGCAAGGGAAAAAGAAATGCATAGCCATAATTTTTCTTATCAGAAGGAATTTTTCAAGTCAGTAACTATGTCATGTGTATTCCATGTCCCTGATAGACTCTGAATGATGTCATAATGGGCACATATACAAGAAGAAAGATGGATGTAAGCTAGAAAAGGGAACCAGAAATGATTCAGAGCTAGGTCTGTAATTGAAAGCCATTCTTAGAAACTACAGGAAAAAAATAGCTTTTCTAATGTGTTGAAGCACAAGTGTATAAACAAAGTCATGAGTCAGAGTTGCCAATTGCATTCCATCTATAAGATCCATAGAGACCTGGGTCAGATCTTGTCAAAACATAAATTTTCAAAATCCTCAATTCAGATAAAAACACAATCTATGTCCATTTACCATTCCCTGGTTTTGAAACTATGGTAAATGTCAATTGTGTGTCAACAGGGGAGGTTCTTTCCCCACTTGGGTGTTTTGTCTTGTTGTCAGTTGATTTATCAGGGTTCTATTCCATCAGGCTATCAGATATTCTTTTGTCAGTATTATTGTGTCTTGAAAATGCCACTTTAAACATTAAGCTTTAAAGAAGCTAAATGAAATGTTCAAAACTGGGCAAAATGCATTAGTTCTAATTCTCTCTTTGAAACAAAGCCTTTATCTATTGTAATGAAATTGTCTTTGAACATGAAATTAACTTAGAGTTATATCCTAAGTTTCATCCCAATGTGAGTATATACATTTCACCACAACATTTATTTTGGGATAGGATCTGGAATAGATAATGCCAGGAGATAATTATTCACTCCATTTCTTTGTGCATGCCATGCACACTCATTTTTTCCCCCACGTCTGGAGACCTAAATTTGAAAGTGTGATGTGTGACATTAAAACCTACATTTGCATGCAATATGGCTTCCTTCATTTTCCAAAAAGTTATCAGCTCAAGAGGTGTTTCAGATATAAGTAGAAATAGATTCACTTCCAAAAAACTAGAGGTCTTCAGGTTTCTCCCCTTGGAAATTCTTGTCTGTAGCCCGTGGAGCTCAAGTGCAAATGTTGTGCATGCCAGTCCCTCCAGGGATTGGCTTGAGCACAAATGTCGAGCAGGGACACGTGGAAAGTATGATTTTCTTAGTTAGTGATAATGCAACCTCAGCGTGATCACTTCTTTGATCACTCTCATGGGTTTGGGCATCAGATATTACTGTGGATCCTGAGAACAACAGTAGAATGCTTGCAAGCATCACAAGTATTAGACCTGAGGACAGAAAGTAGAAGCCTCCAGGCTCCTGAAAAGGTATAGCCATTTTAGAACAAGACGATAGGCAATAAAAGGGGGGAGAAGGCTATTGAGAGGAGAGGTTGGGGGTAACAAACGGAAACATATCTGAGTTTTGTTCATGGATGATATAGCAGAAGATTTTTGAACACCTGAGATCCACGTCACAATTTATTTTAGCTTTTGTGTGCTGTATGGACACCAATCAGCACATCTGTATATACGGAGCTGCTACTCTGGGCTTATAAGGTGCTTGTCAGGGATTTGAGGTGACATTAAGGAGGCATCTTCAGCATTCTAGTGCACTCTGGTAGAGTATATTCCAATAAGTTCACCTTACTGCAATATGTCTGCCATTCCATGGTGACAGAGTAGTACAGTGGAAAGAGCCCTGGGTTTAGATTCAGAGAACCTAGGTTCACGGCCTGGTCCAGTCACTTTTAAGAAAAGGTAATTTCACCTCTCCATGCCTCAGGTTTTCCTCTGCCTTTGTCCCCTCACTTGGGCTGTTTTGAGCATCAAGGGAGATCATGCATTTGAATGATTTGTTTTCAACTATGAAGATTATGACAAATAACTTGAATATTACTAGTCCCTCATTTCTCTTTCATAGATGACACTATGTATTATCAAAGCTTACCCTTCATGGTGATTGGGTCTTTACAGTTGTTTGATTATTTTTTTTAATGGAGAAAAAACAAGTCAAAGAAGCTCTAACATCTCAGAAGTTCTAGCATCTTAGAGTAAGCAGAACGTAGATGCCATGTGTCTCAGCTGGTTCTCCTTTTATTAGTTC